ACATGTTCAAAATAATTAAATAACACAAAAATAAAAACACATGCATATTTATTAAATCATAATTACAGCTTTCCAACCGTAAGATGTGTTGAATGATCACTTATAATCTGCTGTGATGTGCTCCAACGGGCCAGAATACAATGCAGCCATGAGATAACATTGACAGATTAGTATTCAGCAGCTGGTGTTTATCTACACTGTAGACGGAGCTTACAGCTGTGCAGTACATACCAAGAAAAGAAGAATGTAATGGTTGTTACGGGATGGACTAGAGGGCGGTTTAAGAGGATTAGAGGAGGAAAAAGGGAGACGGAATGAGATAGAAACCAAAGGAATCGGGCCATAATTTTAAGATATGAGAAGAGAAAATGGAGTAGAAGTTAGGGGGCGGGGGGCTTGTCTTGAGAAAATACTGAGCTTCACAGCTTTTGTAATGTATCTTTGGATCAATGTACAGGTGTACTGTGCGTACAGGTTCTGTATTGATTTTGTATTTTAGGTTTTGTATTGAATCCACAGGTATATATTGTGGATAAGCAAAACACCTTTATAAAGACAAGCGTTGACACTTAAGGACATTTGCCACATCATCTCCCCTCTTGCACAGCACCATGCAGAGGGAGGGAAAGGGAGAAAGATCCGTCTTGCCAGATTACTCCTGATACCCAGCGGATACAAGGAGAGCAAAGCTCACAATGACTGCTACTTTTTAAAAATATATATTTTGAGATTCCGCTCATAGCTTCACATGGCCCATTCTCCCATTTCTTATGGCTGTCCGCAAAAATAAAGTGAAGGGATTAGCTGTTGTGCTGCAAATAGAGCAAGAAATGGAGAGTCAAGAAAAAATGGGGCAATATGAAGCGAAAACAAAATGAGGAGAAAGAGTGAGAGAACTGGAAAGAAATGCAGTAGCAGTGATGCCAAGGATGAACATTTAGATTTTGAGTACAACACCATTAGAAGGCAGTGAGGACACCCGACTCAGCAAACATCTATTTTCCTGTTCCAAGATGTTACTGAACACAAAACGGGACAGCTGTATTGTGGCTCAATTTACGCTTAACATTAAAATTCATAAGGCAGCGAGAGTAAAATGCATGTGGAGCTGCAGAAAGTCCAGGTTATCCTTGAGGACACGTAGCAGAACTCCAGAGTTGTATAACTCCCTAGAAAGGAGCTTTAAACATTCTACAGATTGCGTCGCATTTCTTAACTCACTTAATGATCACTTAATGATTTTTTTGGCGATGGGAAATTATTACTTCACCTGACTTTTAAGACTCATTGCACATCTGCTTCTCACATCGACAGCAACACAACCACACGCACCAGCCAAAGACCAAACGCTGACAGCATTTTGGATTCTTCGGACGTGTAAATCCTCCGTGCAGGTATTTGCTATTTATTATGATGGAGTATTTGGACGAGCAATGAGAGTAATTCAAATGGAAGCTGAGCCCTGACACGCAGGGCAAAATACTTCCTGAATTACACAGGAAGTCCCAGAGGAGATGGAGCTCTACGTGTTCACCCTCCTCCACAGCGATCTGTCTGTAAGGAGACAAGACAATTCCATTACCCAGCCATGTAGCACGGGTCCCCTGAGTGTGTGTGTGTGTGTGTGTGCGGATACACATAAAAACAAGCCGCCCACTGAAAGGAAATAGATACCAATTGGAATACGTGTGTGTGTATGTGTGTGGAGGGAAGTTGCCTAAAGGAAGAGATGCATCAATCTAATAGAGAACTGACTTGTCCTCTAACTCATCCTTAGCGCGGCCGGGACAAATGCGTGTTTAGAAGTCCTACATTTGGGGATAAACGTTTGATTCAACCAGCTGAGAAGGTTTGACCTTCATTAGTGAGCCAACTTTCACTGTAGTCAAGTTAAGCTATCATGATATTCACCACACTTTGAAACACACACTGAAAGACTGCAGAGAAACAATAGATTCTGTTCTGTATTTGTGATTTCATTTGCAGCACTCTCATGCAAGCAAATGCACGTTAGCAGAAGCCAAACGGACTCGGCATGAGAGCTCAGGTGACGGCGAGCGTCTTTCTGACTGTGACAGACTGTGACAGATCACCCGGATGGAGAGATGAACCACTGCGGCTGAGTTGTGTATGCTGGGAGGCTGAATAACTGGCTGGGTGTTGCCCGCGTTGGCCAGCTATAAATTGTGTTTAGCTGACGGCCTTTGAAGGCAGCAATACACAGTAGAATGGACGAAGCCAGAAAAAGGCAAGGAAGTAATAACTTTCCCCTCTTATGACAGCAAAGGAAAGGGGATGCTGTATTTCACCAAAGAGCTTTCACGTTTCACGACCTCTTACTTATTAAATTATAATGAACATTTACTTTCTATGCAATTTCATTTTTCTATATCAGTCTGTCACTTTCTATCTCTAGCGTTGTAGAACGCTATTTTAGAAGATTGTTTTGGGAAATGTCCTCCAGCACTCTCTTGTATCCATCAGCATATACACAACCCAAGAATTCTAGATTTGCGCATATTTTTGCAGTTTCTTTTCAGTAAGTGTAGCTCTGTATGTAAACACGCTGCAGCGCTGAAATAATGCAAAGAGGAGGACGCAACGGCGCCGACAGCAAGTCAACTTGCTCCTGGAGAAATCTCGTGAAGAATTCCGTGAGACGGGGCCAGGGGTCACAGCATGATGTCCCCTGTCCTTAATGCCAACCAGTGTCCACACAGAGCGGACAGATGCCACCACAAAACTAGAAGCCAAAACACAGAGGGGGCAGAAGGAAGCGGAGGGGGGAGGAGACGTACGGGAGGACCTGGGACGGCTATTACGAGGTTGAGACGGAAAGATGATGGAAAAAGACCGGCGGGAAAGAAGGAATAGACGCTGGAAAGGTCTGGACGAGGAGGTACTGTACAAATGCAACGAAGACAAAGAGCGAGAAGGAGGTCAGAACGTTTGAGGGAAAAGGAGACAGATGGCCCGGTGCCGTCCTCCTGATAACACTGACATCTGTGTACAACATAACAAGGCCCCCGGTGTGCGTAATAAACCCTGCATAAAACTAAACTATCATCAGGATGGTAATCACAACAAGTGTAGCCTGTCATGATCTCGTTAGCGCTGTGTGTGCATGACACTTTAAACTTCTGTGGGTGACAGTTAACATAATGAAAAGGCAGCTAAAAAAAAGCCAGAGGGTGAGAGAGAGGGAGAGCGCAAAATATATATGCATATATATATATATATATTTGGGAGAGAGAAGACAAAGGAACGAAAGAGAAAAGCACAGAAGTGTTGTGACACAGGAATTGATGTGGATGTCGCCTCACAACTGACATCAAGACATTACGTCCAGCGTGAGGATTGCGACTGACCCTTAATTAATGGCTCTACATTGTAACTATCTCTCTCTACCTCCAACACACACTTTGCGGGACCACCAAAGCGTCATTATGACGCAGAAAATGGCCGCTGGTGAAGGAGGAGTATTTGCACCCACGTGCAGTGGCTCGCCCACAGCCGCGAGGTATACTTTCCTCCTTTTCTCTCTCATACGGACACAAACAATTAAAGACATTTTCTGGTCTGTTTATGCGTTGCATGATTCACCCGGCTGATATAACCTACCATGACATAAAACTCAAATTAATTCGGTATTATTTCAGCATTCAGCAATTCATCATCGCCTCTATGATTAACCAAACTGTCACACCCCCGTACGGTCTCATCCATCAAACACTTGCACAGTCGGGACGGGTGGCGCCCTCGGCTTTGTATCAGTCCCGCTGACACGTGTGTGGATTCATACAGGTGCGGTTTCCCGTTAAGCCGATGCGGATGCGTTCCCAATCGCTCGTTCACATTGTCCCTCTGCTGCCTCGTTTAAATTCCCACATTCAAATTACACGGCGGCGACATCTCACCTGCGCACAGTTTGGGCAACCAGTCGGCCTTTCTGTCAATCTACCGTTGTCCAATTTAGTCCTGGGGTGGACTTTATTGCACAACAGCGTCAAATCTAAGAAATGTGGTATGGCTTCTGTTTTTTCCAAGGCCACAGTAATGATGAATGACGGGGGTTTGTACCGCAGTGTATCAAAATGTGCCACTCCTGGCAATGTTTTGAAGAGGTCCGCCATGACTGATGTCAAAAATGTATATTGTTTTCACCTGCTAGCAAGCTATAAGCTGCAACGGGATTGGTGCGGGAATTCATTCCAAAACCGATGCCTATCGCTCACGTTAGCAACAGACATCCGTGGAGGAAGAAGACGAGACGTGTGAGGAACCGCTGGCCAGCGCCGATAATGCAAAAGCAACTGGAACGTGTTTTCCTTCAACATTTCAGAATAGACACGGAGCATTGACACATTGACAGATGAACAGCCAAAAGTAAAAAGAGGAGGCAAAGGCGCAGTTTAGAGGAGGAAGTTGTCACAATAAATGATGGATGAAATATGAAGAAACTGAAAACACATTCAGTCTCGGATAAAACCATTAGTACTAAATAGTCTATTTACAGTGGAAAACTTTGGAGAACAAGGTTGAATAAAAATATCAATTTCTGATAGGAAGGAACCTCACAGAATCAAGTGTTAAAGCAACACCGTCTGAAAAAAAAAATTAAGCCAATTACCAAAAGTGTGCTGTTTAATAATTAAGGTTTATTTTCATTCCAATGATCCTCAAGGCTCCTCGTCAAGGCCGTCCTATTTCAACAGCGTTATTATGCAGAAGCCCAGAGGATGAACCTCTAACATCTGGATAACGGATCTCAAAGGAGGGCCAATGCCAGCTCACACGGCAAGGTGGTATGCTGATAAACTGACCATTTAAACCCAAATTACCAAAAGGTCATTTTAACAAATAACTTTAAATAACACATTATTCCTTTTAAGTGGTAAAAGCATCGCAGTATTTTTTTCTTGACATTTCTATTTTGCTGCAATTAGCCAGTGTCGCACCTCCGTAATGAATGAAGACACATTTTTAGTCTGGGTACTTACGGCCGATGTGGAGGTAGATGGTGTCGCGCCTCTCCCCGTGCGGGTTCTGAAAGCAGCTGTAGAGTCCGCTGTGGCCCAGGGCCACTCCGCTCAGTATCAGCCTGGGACCCTCCAGACGGTGGTGGTCTTTCACATCGGTCCCGTTCACCTTCCATGACACCGACGCGTCATTGTCCAGGAAGCCGCACTGCATGGTCACATCACTGCCTATTCGCTCGTACTGGTTCCTAGCAACTGGAAACAAAGGCAGAGGAAGAGGGTGGAGTGTGAGTGATATCAAGAGCTGATCAGTCAAATATCTGTGTGCGCGCTGACTGAGAGGACAGACGGCGAAAACAAAAACCTTCATGATTACATCAGCACATGACAAGCAAGATACGGGACGTTCGTGTTCGATCACTGTTCACCGATGCACATCGCTGAGCCAACCAAGTAACCGCCGACAGTTCTCAAATGAAAACAGGTCCAGCAGCTGTGAAGCTCATTTCTTCCCCCAAATGTTTACTAGAAACACGTTTGTGTCTTAAGATATAATAGTGTGCAAACCAGCCGCAATGTTGGTCCGTTTAGTCCACGTGGCTTCTACAGGACCAAATACCATCGTTTAACAATCTTGTACTAAGTCCACCTTGGATAATTATGACACAATGTATGGGAATGAATAAGAAAATCTACTATAGAAAAGGCTCTGGAAGAAAACCTCCTTTAACGGGGAGAATCTGAAAAGAAGGCATTTTGTCACCAGTGTGGCCTTTGTCCTTCTATGAGTGACCTCTACCTTTGTCCCCGGGGTGAGAAACGCTGTAGGGAGCGTGACCCCGGGCTGTCAGGGACACATGTGAGGCCGATGGGAGTTAGTAGCCCTGCTCTGGTTGTAAGTCCCAGGGGCCCGGTCATGACCACACAGAGTGAAGACCTCAGATTAACACTTAAACGCTAACGGATCAACAGCACAACAAACAACAATGAAATATTGATCCCCGTCTCAGGAAAATCCCTCGTCTATGAAGAAGAGACAAAAAAAGACTGCCCCCACTGGCTCGGAAGCTGTCGGGATCCTTGTCTTACCCCGATGTCTCTCTCTCTCTCTCTCTCTCCAGGTCTTCTCCCTTTTGTCCGTGTGTCCTCCCTCCTTTCTTTCACTACCATGCTTCTTATTTTGCATCCCTTTCCCAATCTAGCACAGCTGTGTAAAACGTAGTGTTTCATGTATATTTTATGTCATCCATATTTGATGGGACAAGATCCCCGTCCCCATTAACATTAACCTGACACTGTTTGTTCTCCCTCTGTCTTCGTGTCTGTCGTTTATCCGCAGCTCTTACTGTCTGCTCTTATTTTCCTCCCCTCCTCCCCTCCGTGTCTGTCCATCTGCAGTTATCTCCCCGCTCGGCCTCGCCCTTTCCCCGGGTCCAACTAATGCGCGTGCATAATGCATGTTGGTGGCCCTCTCCTTTAAATGCCCTCCGCTTTAAACAGATGCGTGACTTTATTTACATTTAAAAAGAGTTATTTTCATCTCAGTCATTTTGACTTTGATGATTTTTTTGACCTCGTGTTTTAAGTGATGAGTAAGTGGTGGGAGAAGAAACTTTCCTGGATTATACATTCCAGGTCGGCGAACATTTACGTGTTTTGTGATAATTCTGCAGTGAATGCTGGAGAGTGGTCCTCTGCCTGAAACTCCCCTCCGTCTTTAGGTGGCATTAAGCTCTTTGAAGAGAGTCACACGGATGTCTGCATTTATAAGCAGGGGAATATTTACGGGGGATCCACCCGTGGAATATTTTGGCTGAAACTACCCTTTTGTAGCTTTGTCTAGTGAGCGTCTGAACACTGCGGTGATTCTTTGACCTCTTCTCTCGAGACCCCCTTCCCCATCCGCTCCTCCTCATCGTCATGAGGTTGCATCACTCCCTCTCTATGTCTGTCCCTCGTAATATCCATCCTCCTCTCCAGCCGCTGCTCCCTCTCCATCTCTATCGCCTTTCATCTCTGTCCTCTTCCTCTATCGCTCCTCTATCCGTCGTGTCCAGGTTCGCCCCCTCCTCCTCATCCTCTCACTCTGGCAGTCACTCTCTATCTTTATCTCTAGTCCCCCCCCCCACTCCCCTGCCTGACATCCCTCATTAAACTTTAAGTTCTCAAGATCTCGCACTTACATTTTTCTCTCACTTAGTTTTTTCCAACAAGTTTGCCTTTTTGTACATTTCATCTCAGTCCTACAGTGCGTTAGTTTGAACTAAAAGCAGGTTAAACATCAGGCAGTTAAGGAGTGTGGAATGAACTATATTCGAGGGTGGTGTGTAAACATGATCTAAAGCTAACAAGTCACATGCTCAGGATGTTAAACACTCTTGCATGTTTCGCTTCGAGCTTTGTGAAGATGGAGCCGTCTCTGGCCACAAAGAAGCTTAATAGCAGATAATAGAATGACTTGTGACTTATGCAATGGCTGCTAATACGTGATCCATACGGCCTCACATTGGAAATAAACCGCCGGTTACCATTGGTTCGTCTCTATGCTCTTCCAGTCCCGCGGCCAGAGATTTCATCTCACCGTAAAGGTTCATCTCTGAGAATCGTCCCTACCATAGAACAGCTGGGCACATAGTGGGACAGGAATACATCCTGCCTTTGTCGTGGACTATTTTCAGCCGTATACTGAAAGAGTGTGCCTCATTGATTTTGATGGAGCTCTTTGGCACAGAAAAATAAGCTTTACCACTGGGCAACACTTGATGAAAAGATCAATTCATTGTCCGTTTCGGCCTTTTAAAGAGCATCGTTGATGTGGGACATTTTTCAACCTCATACTTTAACTCAGAAGCTCTGGTTTGGTTCCGGTAAAGGTGTCCGGTGTGACTGCAAATTCAGATCCTACCCTCTCAGCTGTGGCAATAAATTGCTGATACCTTCCGTCTTTGTTTGTTGCGCTGCAAGTTATTCTCGCCGTCTCCGTTTCCCTTATCGCGTTCCTCCTCTGTGTATCATTACTGCTCACCTTCCCCTCTCCAATCTCCGTCAATTACTCTCCCTCTCACCTTGAAAACAACCCCCTCTGAAACTTCAGCATTTGTTTAGTGCACCACCAATCACGTCGCAAATGCATAATAAACCTTGTAGCAACAGCGGAAACGTAAGTAGACAATAATGGGTACACTCGTGTAATCACTATGCATAGGTGATCGCACCATCCTGCATAATGTCCTCCTGCCTCATCACCACACACACACACACACACACACACACACACAAGCAGGCCTAATAACCATAATGACATTCAGCTCAAGTGCTATTGATCTCTCGGTAATAGACGTGGCATAGTAAGCAGCGTTGGAAAATTGTTATTCTCAACCAAATGAGAATGATAATCATCCGTGTCCTTCACAAAGCTTAATTTTTCCTATTTCTACTCATTATTCTACTTGTTTATGATGATGACAAGCGAATGGAGAAAGTTGTTATTTTTGCTTTTGAGTTGAGAAGTTTTGGGCAGCGCAACAAATACGAAATCAAGCAGAAACAACAGATAAACAGCACGGCAGAGGGACCCAAACAGCTGCAACTTAAAAAAGATCTTGCGTGAGTCCAATGTGTTGTGGTCTGGTGTACTCGGGTGCAAAAACCAACAACAAGGAACACTCGGGCTCAAAGGGGTTAGCAGGAGAAGCAACTAGATATCCAGCAATACAGGGAAGAGGCACATTTTATTCATAGTGGGATTATGCAGGGCATTCAGGGTGCTGCACTGCTTATGCAGCCCTGTGGTGTTTTCCCAGAGCAGATTCATTACCATAAAGAGCCAACAAAATGTCATGTTGTGAGGTCACTGGTGCTAAGACCTGCAGGACATCACAAGCACACATCTCTGTTCGTAGGCGATATCCACAACAATTAGCATGCATGGATTCACATGATTCCTGGCGAAATGCACCACGTGTGCATTTGCTAAACGGACGTGAGGGGAGGAAGACACAACGCACGTACTTGGCAGGGTTAACCATTTCAATTGCGCGCATTTACACATACGGACAAGGAACGGAAGGAGAAGTGGAGGATGTTGGTTTTAAAGCACAAAAAAGGGGCTGCGAGAGGAGCTGAGACGTGTGTGAACAGAGGGACACTCGCCAATTCACCTCGTTATCCTTTGTGCCCTGATTAACCGTAATTCAAGCAGAAAGATCAATTAAGGTCAAATTATCATTAGCCAAGTGTCATATCGGATATTCATGAGAACAAGGGGCCCAACTGTTTGATTAGCTGATTACACACTGCTGCAATTACTCGTTCAAACACCGAGTGCCACCGGGCAAAACCCTGGTATACCTTTCCACTGCAGCGTCATCATTAAACGCCTGCTGATGAGGAGGGGACATTGACTCTGAGGAAGAAGTTAGTTTAAGGATTACTGAGCTGAAGGAAATGTAGTCATTTGATACAGTGCCTGTGATTTATTGTTGACAAGCACAAATACACCTGCAGCATCGAGGCGGGCACATGGCAGAGGACTTTGGACGTTTGCCTGTTAGGGATAATGATGATGATGATGCAGGGATCGATGGAGTCCTGCATCTTTGCTATCTTGACCTGCATGACCACAATGCAAAACGATTTGGGACTTTATTGAGTCATGCTTGACATTTTTGTGGTTGTGTGTTATTAAGTGCACTCCTCCTCGAAATGTCACGTAGAAAAAGATCAAACCAAGAATCTAAAAGCGAGAGTTTTAAAAGACACTGAATGAAAAGCATACAGATCAGCTAATACGGGTGTTGGATCAGCAAACACACACATAGGGGTGATTTTGGGGACTTATACTGCTTTCACAAAAGGAGCCACGCGTCTCTTCGAAGATCTGGGAGTTTTGGAGCAGCAGCCGAGTAAAAAACTGGGAGCCAAAGTCGCAGACAATCCTGTTCTCATGCAGGTGTATATGCATACTTGTATCTAGCAACCAACAACTCAAATGCACAGACATTCAGGAAACTTCTCTTTTATGAATGTTAACGATGGACAACCAGCTACGGGAGCATGTGTGTGTGTGTGTTTATGCACTTTAAATGGCTGCCGCTAGTATGTGCAAAGATGCTTTCATTTTTCTGGATTTGTGACTTCACCGTGCGTACCAGCAATAGTGCGCGTTTCTGTTTGTTTTAAGCTATGTGTGCGTCTGAAGCGCGTGCTTGTGTGTGTGTGTGTGTGTGTATAAAAAGCAGTAAGTTATGATCAGA